GGATGGATTCCTAGTCAACAGCCCGCGTTCGCGAGAGCGGCGATATTTGAATCCGCGAATCGAAAGGCCGCTATTCGGGGAAACGACGCAACGCGTTAACCGACCCCGTTATTTTATGAGCCGACTTAACTAAATCCGCTCCGATTAGGATCATAATTCGACAGCGGATCTGGGGGACTTACTGTAGGTGGTGGAATGCACTTCCTCACCAAGCTCATACGATAACGGGCTCAGCCCAAACGAATTCAGGCCCAACAGGAGAGCTCTCCAGCGATTAGCGGTAAGTTGAGCTTAGCTCGGCTAATCACTGTGGTTAACTGAGCTAAGCATGCTTAGACAAAGCACTTAAATTATCGGGCCGACCAAGGCCCACTTGGCGAAAGCCCGCGAGGGTCACAACGAATCTGCTAGGTCAAGGTGCAACCACTATAAAAGGAAGAGAGGAGCTAACGAGAGGGGGATCCGAAATCACACTCACGCTCAAGGCGGCTAGAACTAGGGTTTTCATTCCTTTGTTTCTTTCTCGACTTGTACGGCGCGGCCGAGCTCTCAGCGAGATTCCGCTCCGTCTCTCTTTTCCCTATTTGTAAACTGAACTCTCTCTTTAATACAAACGCACCCTTGATTCAAAATAGTAAACAAACGCCTTTGAAATAACCCACCGACGAGTCCTGTCACTCATTCACTGAACACACCGAACTCGGTTCAAACAAAACTTTACACAATCCAACTTAATTTGGTTTGAGGGAGAGAAAGACAAATACCTCAAAATAATATTTGGTTGGAGGATTGAGGGAGAGAAGATCCAAAAAATAGTTACATCTCAGAAATAGATCAAACTTGAGGAATTTGCCGGCAAGTGGATTCAAGTGAGGGATAATACTTTGAAGAAACAGAGAAACATGTGGACTCAAGTGAGAGGCAATGTTTTTTTAAAAAAAAAATTTACAGTCATTTAGTTAAGTAAAAAGACAATGGAGTGAAAGTTGGTTTAAAGGCAAAATAGACAATCAGTAAATAAAAAGTGTACAACAAGCACAATATGGCTCTCAACGTAATTGCAAAGATGAAATGTGACTCTCAATGTAATATTTTCTTTTCTATTTCTGTAATTTCAATCTCAAACCGAAACAAGAAAAATGACAGTTTGTTTATTTATAAGTTTCTGACTCGGAGCGAACTTAACTGAAGAATAAAGTGAAATGCAGACACAATGGCCTATGCTCGATCATTGAGAGCTGTTACTAGGTTCTTTCTTTGAACTATCATGTGATGACATCACCTTGACATATACTAGTTTCTCACTTTTATGTTCCACATAGAAATATGTTACTACCGATCAGTTTTAATCAAAATTAGAACTCGTCGGGTGTTTGATTTAAATTATATTCAACGGAAATTTATAAACTGCTAATTTTACAAAAAAAAAAAAATTATGTTGTGTAATTTACATATAGAGTAAAATATATTATTTATGATATAAATATTTAGTAATAATGTTTTTTATTTTACATAATATTATATTAGAAATTTTACAACTTGATGCAATTTGATGTAATTGTACTATTTATATGTTAACATATTATTTTTTGTTAATTTGTTTTAAATAAAACAACATACTAAAAAATAATCTTTTTGCATTAGTTTTCGATGATTATCATTAATTTTATGATATTTTTTATTTGAAAATTGAACTCTCGAAATTTTATATTTGACTAAATTAAATAAAGTAATAGAATATTTAAAAAGTAATTTATATAAAATATACTATATATTTCAGTTTTGTGTTTTTATTTTCACCACAAGGAAATAAAAGTCATTGTAATTAATTAATTTAAATTGATTTTAAATGTAATCGCAGAATCTGTAAATAAAAAAAAATATAAAAATAAAATATTTAATTTATTGTAAATATAATGGCTAAATGGGCAAATAAAAGGAATTACTTAATATGTTATCCATGTTTCCAAACAGTTTTCATTTATTCTGTTATTCTTATTTCCAAATAGTACGAAGACGTACTTCAGTTTTAATAATATACTAGATCATAACCCCTCCCCCCCCGATTGTGCTGGTCTTTGTCTTATGGTATATATAAACATTTCAAAAATTGCAATCTTATGGTTTTAATTTTACTAAGTAATAATATACTGTTTAATTATTGTATTTCATCACTGTATTGTGTAACAGGGGCGTAGGTAAAATGTTGTGACCCGTAAACATTTTAGTAATAGTTTATAAAGTTATTTTTTGGCTAAATTTGATGCAAAGTTATATACAGTAAACAATTTAGTCAATTTTTAAGTTATTTGTTTAATGAAGAATCGGAAAGCTAGTATATAATTGTTAAAAACTTATAACAATAGTCAATATAAATTATATAAATAAAATATACATTATTCTAGATTTATTATAAATACATTTAAAACATGAGTAATATATATGTATAAATATTTTTCAGATATAAAGTAATATCAATTAATGAAAACTCAAAACAAAATTATATAATGGTATTTTGGACCGCAGTAATCTTTAATTTAATAAATAAGCCCATTAGGTTTGATGCTATCCATGTTTCCAATCAAACTTTTAAAACTTTTTTTTCATGTTTTCAAACACTTCATTTTTGTACTTCAATTTTAATAGTATAGATATGCTATGGACTTGCATATTAGTTTTGAACTATTGATTGAAATTTGAACTTTTGATTGAAAGTAAAGTTATTAGGAAAACAATTAACAACCCATTATAAATAATGTAACGCCTCGTTCCTCGATACTCTTTACTTTATTTTGTTGAAGTATAGAGATATAAATTAAGGCTTCTAATTTTAGTGGTAAAAAGTTCACGACTGTGAATTTTATCACTTGGATTTTCACTTTAGTTTGAAATTCGGCCGTTGAAGGATTTACATATGAATTTTCCAGTGTTTAAAACCGTTTACAATGAGTCACATAGTGATGTCTTGGCAATATTCTTGTTCATTTTGGTTTTTAGTGTGACCACCTTACTAGGGTAAGACACTCGGTTATAAAAAACAAAGAAGTATAGAAATATTAAGGGGAAACTGTTTTTTTAGATCAAATAGGTTTGAATATTGTCCCTTTAGTCTAAATTATATTTTGTACCAATTTTGACTCTAATGTCCTTTATTTATTTTTGAAATTATTAAAAATAGATTTATGAAGCAAAAAAAAAATTAAAAATAGTACATAATTATGAAACCCCTATATCTATATAGTGATATTTTTTTCCTGTTTTAAAAATGTGTAAATAATAATTTCATATATTATTCTACCAAAATTAGAATCCGTATACTACGGATTAGAATACGGAATCCACTTTTTTCACTATTTCTACGAACTGCAGAATATGTTTTCTACGTAGATAACACGAATCTAAAATAGTTTGGAATACACATTCCACTCTTATCATAGAGTTCTAATAAAAGTAGAAACTGAAATCTAAATTCTTACTTAAATCTAAAACTAGTAGAAATCGGAATCTACATTGTTACAACGTTCTAATACATGTAGAAACTGATTTCATATCTCTTAACACAGTTCTACCTTTAGTAGAATCTGAATTCTACGGATAAATATTATTAGATCCGAAAATATAGGAAGAATATATTATGAATATTCGGTTTCCATATTTAAAATTCAATTTTTTTTTTTTAAAAAAAAAAGAAAACTCAAAGGCAAAAACGTTTTGCCTGGGCACGGGATCGATCGATCTCACCTAGGGGATCAGTCGATCCAGAACGATTGATCTGTACGATCAATTAGACTCTGAGAAAGTCGAAAAAAATTCACAAAATAGTGTGGTTTAGGCTCAAGAATCGTCCAAATGAGAGCAAAACTGAGTGAGTTAGGGTTTATGAATGAGGAACCTCCATTGTCTACCTTTTTACGTGATGGCAGAGAAGAGAGTGATGGGTTTGATCCCAAAAACACGAATTAGTAAGTTAAATCGTGTTTACTCGGTTCAAATCAAATGTGAATTAAATCAGATATAACCGAAGAAAATCATGAAATCGAGTTGGAAGAATTAATTGGGATCGGGATCGATCGATCTAGAACAGAGATCGATCGATCTTTGGTAGATCGATCGGTGTAGATCGACTGAACTTGAAAAGGTCGATCAGTTTCTGCTCCATGCTTTTTTATGTTTTGTTTAATCATCGAGATCGACCGATGGGATCGATCGACTCTTTACTGGATCGATCGATCCCGTCATATAGAGCAGTTTCTTTCGTCTTTTTTTCCCCCGATTTGAAGATTTTTATTTTTAATTGTTTACGATTTTTAAGTGAATTTAAGGACATTATTGCCATTTAGAAAATATTTAGCCTAATGGGATATAAAGTACTAGAGGTTAGTCTAAAGGGACAATGTCCAAACCTATTTGGCCTAAAAAAAACTATTTTCTCAAATATTAATACAAAACAATATGAAGCGCACCAAGACAAAGCCAGATGTCTGTCTCTCTCGCTCCCAACAACCACCGCACTAGCCGCATCTCTATTACTTCTCCCACTACCAGATTTTCGGTGTCACTTTCTAACGATAGAAAACATAAATGTAATTAGGTAAAAGAACTAGGGTTAAACTTTACTATTCAATAACCGTTACATTCTTATTCGTTATACGTCATGCATATAAAAAGTAAAAACGGTGAAATCCAATAGTGAAAACTCAAATTAGCAAACTTATTTCTACAACGTGTAGAAACACTTTTAATTCTTATGTGAAACTGGGATGCTTAAACCCTATTCAAATTTGTATGCTATTCTTATCTTCACATTATCAATGAAAATTACCTCTCTTATTTTCTTTCACGCGGTTTCCTAAGGTTAATAATGAAGAAAAAGATAAACTTTTTTGCGACAGGAAAAGAAGAGAAAGCAACCTTTGTTTGTATCTATGATGATTTGTTCTTATTTGTCATGTGACTACAAAGACACACACATCTACATATATTTTCATATATAAAAGGGATGATAATCTGATAGAGGAACCCACTTGGATTCAACAAACTGTTTCTTAGTTTTATTCCTCTACCCAAAAAAAGAACATAGATTTTGAGATCCAAGCAGATATGAGCGACACCAACAACACAAGGGAAGGAGAGAGAAACGGTTCTTCAAAACACCAACCACAAGAAGCTCCTATGCCTTTGAAGGTCATAGATTCATGTCTGAGGCTAAGTGTGATTCCTCTCAGCGTTGCAACCATCTGGTTAACCATCACTATTCACCAATCCAACCCTGACTATGGCAACCTAGACTACAACTCCATCATGGGTCTCAAGTATACTCTTTAATTTCTTTTCATTTTTGGAGTGATACTCTTTATTTTATAGTTGTTATCAAGTATACTCCCTCATGAGGCTCAACTGTACTCTTTGATTTCTTTCATTTTTCACTATGCCAATTTTATTATTATTTAGTTGTTATTGTCTAGTTTGTTATCTAGACTATTGAATTTATATCTGCAGATATATGGTTGGTGTTAGTGCAATGTGTGGTATTTATGCTCTGCTCTCTACTATTTCGTCATGGGTCACATGTTTAGTCTCCAAAGCTTGGCTCTTCTTTGTCCCTGACCAGGTACTATTTTCCACTTCTTAAATCTAATTTCTCAGCTCTTTTTTCTCTGTCTTTAATACAATATAGTATTCGATTTCTTATACAAGTGAACGATTCTCTGTGTAAAGGTTTTAGCTTATTTGATGACAACATCGGTAGCAGGAGCAACAGAGATAGTGTATTTACTTAACAAAGGAGACAAAGTAGTGACATGGAGTGAAATTTGTTCTTCTTATCCACACTTTTGTTCAAAACTCACAATTGCTTTGGTGCTTCATGTTTTCGTTCTCTTCTCTTTCTTATTTCTCTCTGTCATTTCTGCTTATAGAGCTTTTAGTGTCTTTGATCCTCCTTGTGATTCTCAAACCAATAGTAGTGCTTAATTAGTCAGTATTGAATCATGTTTCCAGCTTTGGAATATTTATCTCCATTTTGCTTTGGTGTTTTAACTTCCTTCTCAAACTAATATGATTTATTTGTTTTCCATTTTTTTTTGTTTTTTATTCAAATGGTTGTATATATAAATAAATCTCGTAAACTGATGATGACAAAAGGTGATGGTCTGAAGTCTGAACTTGGGAATTTTTAAAAGGTGTTTGGTAGACCTTAAGGTAGGCATGCGCATCCGGATCTTCGGGTCGGGTCCTATTGGGTCTGAGTCTTTCGGGTCTTAGAAATTTAGACCCATATGGGTACCTATAATTTTTCGGATCAGTTCTAGGTCGGGTCTTGCCGGGTCCAGGTTGGTTCGGCTCTATAATTCCAATACCTGTAAAATAGCCATAATTTTTGAATTCATATCGGGTCCAGATCAGGTCCGGGTATTTAAAATTTTAAAAAATACATAACATGCCCAAACTCACTCCAATTCAGTCAATATTTTTTATATATATCTAAAATTTTATAAAATAACTTAAATTAAACTATTAAAAATTAAAGAAAACAATTTTAAACTCTAAATTTTACATTTAAAACTTTATATTACTTGAAAATGTTACAAGTAATAATAAATATTGTTAACAAAAGATATTTCAACTAAATTATAAATAATATAGATATATAAAACATAACACAAAAATAATAGTTTTGGATATACATGTTTATAAGTCGGGTACAAATCGGTTTTTATCGGGTCGGGTCTATTTGGATCGGTTCTTTTCAGGTCCGGATCTATTCGGGTCGGTTCTATTCGGGTAAAAGAAATTTAGACCCAATAGATACTTGTAAATTTTCAACCGGGTTCGGATCGGATATTTTTAGTTGTTCGCGTCTGGATAAAATGGCCAGGCCTACCTTAAGGCATGGTGCAGAAAGTGTTCTATCAAGCTAGCTTAACAGACATATATGGCCCATATCCCCTATTTAAATGTACCTTATTCGAGAGGTTCTCGTATTGTGAATCATAGTGATAGAACTTAAGTATCATCAACACATTGAAATTATCTTTGTTTTTTAACTTTCAAAACTCTTTAATTGCTTATTAACATGGCCGGATTTTGAGATTTTGAAAGCTATAAACATTTTTTAAATGTCTTAATATTTTTTTTTTTGTATAATCCGGAGACTTATACGTGTGTAAAAATCTCCAAAAACTTTACGAGACCAAAATTAATGCTTAATTGGGTCGTGTTCAGATCCGGATTTGTGTAGTAAGTTAATACAGTCGAGAGAGGTCTCCTTATTATTAACAAAAAGTAATTGGTAAAATAATTGTAAAATAATAAACTATTTACATGTGTATCATTTTATAGATGTATCCTCTTTTTAAACATCCTCAACTATCTATACATTTGAAAGACTAGATTAATTACGAGAATTGCTATTATTATTCAGATTGCTTTGCATTTACATCATTGAAAACTATGGTGAAGACATTTATTTAATTAACAATCACTTGAATTTATACAAATGCCTGGTAAGACACGAACCTTACATTGATAAACTGCCAGAAGAGCAGATGAGATGCCTCTCATTTTTAGTTGTATATTTTGGAAATCGTATAAAAAATACAGAGCTCTATACTCCCTCCGTTTCATATTAAGTGTCATTGTAGAGAATTTTTTACGTTACAAAATAAGTGTCGTTTTCGGTTTTCAATGCAAAATTTATTAATTTTATTATGTAATTTGTTTTTCTATTGGTTAAAATATGGTTAGGTGTATGGGTAATTGTGTTTTTATATAGAAAATATGTAAAATTAATTGTTTCCTTAATTTGTGTGCACAGTTGTTGAGTGACACTTATAATGAAACAGAGGGAGTATATAATTATTTAAGAAAATTTACAGATAATTAGGGCGATGTAAGAGTTATCATTATTTTCTTAATCTCTTTTGTTTTTGTATATTTATGTGGATACTTAATACATAATCTTTGTATGACAACTTTGAGCTTCAAAATATTTGGTAATAAATGCATGATTAAATCAAATTTCAAATTTTGTGTGGAATAATGATCTAATTCGGTAAGATATTAAAAAATACTAGAAATTTTACCTGGGCTACGCCCGGGATTAGATAAATATCAATGTATTTAATATATAAATGTGCACATGTATCACATTAATTTTTAAAAATATATTATATATTGAATTAGAAATGGTTAAATCTCATAATTTATCTTTTTACCATCTAAAATGTCATACGAAAAGGTGAGTAAATGATTAAAAAAAATTAGTTAAATCTTAGTTATAATCAAAATATTAATTTTTTGTCAAAGATCCTAATATTTTTTATCATACATATTTGGGATATCATGAAAACGAACTATCAATCAAAATTAATTTGTATTATTTGCTTAATATCACTGAACTTGCACTTTTTATTTACCGTTGACTTCTAAGTTACTGTATTATAAAATCATTATGTTTTTTAGAATCTACCTAGATTAATGATATTTACAATGATGTATTGATTATTAACTTGGAATCATATAAAATCATCTTGATTCATATATCTAATATAAGTTGTATTGTTCACTTGTTTAGAGATCTCAATATTTTTTTTTGAAAGGTTATCTTGTTATATACATAATGTATTTGAGAATTCAAGTGTAGGAAATCCTAAGCTAGAAATAAATTTGAAGTTACAAAATTATTTCTCTCTATCTGTATTTTACTAAGTGCCCTAATATGATTATACCATTTTGGTAATGAAAACCACACAAACCAAATTGAATTCTCAGAAGTACAAACCCATAGAAACTTTTTTTAGTTTTTTCCTTGAAAATATTTATTTACTTTATGTCTGATACAATATATGTCACTTTCTCTCTTGTGTCTTGCCTTTTCTGTCGTATTTGAAGTTCTTTATTTCATGTTCCGTGCTTGGAATCAACATAAACACATATTAATATATAGTCCGACAACCATTTTCTATGTTGCGTATGCATTCATATCATTTTTCACCTTGATCTACCTAACACTGATTTATCTTTAGAGCCACATAACGAGTCTTACTCCATAGCATGAGCCTTGAATGAATGAAGGAATAATAACCGAATTTTCCAAGTAAAAATGTATTAATGATCTCTTTATTAATTATTGGACCAAAAGAGTTCTGAAACTATATTTAACATTAGAAGATAAATATAAATGAGAGACATCTCAAGTGATGTGGATGGTAATGGTATTCAAAATTAGAAAACAATTTGGTAAACAAAAAAAAAGTTAACTGAAGTTGGAGAAAAATATTTATTCAAATTTGAATTACTTTTAAATGTTAATACAAATAGTAAAAAAAACAATTTTTAATTAATTTTATAAACATATCATAGAACCAATAATTTTAAATTTGACTTAGATCCGTGATCAAACCACTAAATTAGTTATCCGATATGTAATCCAAGTTGTTTTTTCTTAAAACTTGTTATTTAAAAATCTGTTAAAACCTAGAAAAAAATTGGGAGTCGACTATGTGGTCAACTGATGGGTGAATTAGTTTTTAATTTTATAATTTTATTAGTCGCACGCAAATTTATATTTATTTGTGATTCTTTATCTTCTGAAGAAAAATTCACTATGCAGCTAAAATGAAGTGAATTAAAATGAATATAACCAAAATTAATTGATGTTATTTGATATATTTTTGACAATCAGGAGAATTTTTTTTTATCAATTTTATTAAATTAATAATGAATCATAATTTCCATAATATTCAAATACATAGATAATTTAATTGGTCAAAAAAAAAATAATTCCAAACAAAACAGTATAATTTAAACCAATCTCTCTCCAGACCTGAATCCGAAAGAGTTTGTAAAATTCCCTCAAATTTTAGTTTTCAAAATAGTTGTTAAAACAATTAAGGTGTCTTTCTATAATAGATATATTTTTAAAATGATATGTCTATTCAAAATATATTTTATTAATAATAAAATAGTAATTAATGTTAAAAGTTGTGTCTTTTCATATTAATAAATAGCGCACTTTTTACCACGCTCCTGCAATTGATCTAAAGCAGAAGATAAAATTACAAATCTTAAGTAAACCTCTTAAGTTACAACTTACAACTATACATAAAGCATCATTTTGACATTTGAAAACGTCTGGGATCGTTCACAGTGGAGGCGGTGATTAAACATCCAGAATGGGGGATTGTCCATGACCAAGCTTCTCTCATGATCCTGGAGGTGAAGGATGTTGATCCAGACAGCCTAGTTGCTGAACTTTTTTAATTTGAGCACTGTACAGCTTCTTGTTTCTGCATCTTGTATATCTCATAGCTCTTCTATGTGGACCGTTGGGACCAAACAGTTGCTCATGGACAAACAGTCCCGCGAAGACATTGACTGCAAAACTTCTCATCGCTGTCCATAGCGTCGGAGTTATGTAGTTCTATGCTCCCATGTTCATCACCTCTTCTTGGCACCAAACTATCTCAGCGTCTATGTTCCTATCAAAGCAACAAAAAAAAAAAAAAATGAGTACCACAATATCAGGGAAAAAACCGCAGACCAAACTAAACAACACATGCTTACTTAGATATCTCTTGAGCTCACGCTGAATGAGATCATATGGGAAAGGACAAAGCTGTTCCACTCTACAAATAACAACATCGGTCGTACCAAGTTCTTCCTCTCGTCATCAAGCTTGTAATACACCTGCAAAAAATTGCAAAACCAAGAATGATTCTACTGTCTTTTGCTAATATGAGACCAGCAAGACCCAATCATATAAAAAGAACGAAGTTTGCATACATTTCCAGAGCAAAGTACCACTCTTATGATGCCTTCTTCAAGATCAGAGTGATCATTCTGATCCTTGATCAATCGCTTGAATCTAGTCACTTGCTTGTCAAAACCTGGGTGGCCTTGGACATCATCAAACTCGAAGGGGTTTGATTTGTAGTCCTTGTGACGAAGCAAGTTCTTTGGTGCCATTACAATCAGAGGCTTACGGAAATCTCTGTGTAGCTGCATCGTGTGTAACAACATTGAGAGACATTGTAAATTGGAAACACCACTCTGAAATAGCTAAAAACGATAAC